CCGGCATAATGGCACCGCCGCACTCCGGTGACGACACCGCCGTCTGCGGCGGTGATTTGCCTCGGACTGGCCATTCTTTGCCAATTTTGGCCGATTTTAATCGATTTTATACTCATCTCTACGAGAAAATACATTAAGGGGCCTTGGTTGGCTGAAAAAAAATTGAAAAACAGACACTCACTGGCGACGGAATTCTTCGGTGCGATGATTCCACTGGCTCACCTTCACGGTTGGGTGTTTTTCTTCGATCAACCTTTTTTGGCAGTCGGAGATAGCTCCGGCGCGGCAGTGGGTGGCGGTCGGCTCCCTTCTCCAGTGACTGGTTCTTCTTCTCCGGCAGGGGGCTGGCTGTTAGGGTTAGGGTTCGGTGTAAAATGAGATATTTATACCTGTCTCCCTTTAATCTAGGTTGTTCATTGCATTTGATCTTGACCGTCCGATCGTGTTTAAAGAAAAAATAAATCTGAACCATTCATCGCGATTTGATCTGGATCGTACGATCACATTTAAAGAGGAAATGAATCTAAACTGTTTATCGTGTTTAATCATGACTGTCTGATTGTGCCTGAGGAGGGAACGAATTCAGACCATCCACGCGCGCAGAAATAAATTCGGATCGTTCGATCGTGGGCACGTGGATTGCCAGTGTGGCCTCCTGCGTGGCACCGAATCAGCGTGTCTTGCCACGCAGCGCGCTTCAGTTTATGGGACCTGCTGACTGGGCAGTCCTACGTGTCACATTTTTCTTAAATTATATTTTGATCCCTCAGTTTTTTATTTTTCTTTCAAAAATACCCCCAAACTCAAATTTTCACCATTTTTTTCTAAAATTATTTTCAATTTCATCATCCACCTATTTTTTTCTTAATTTTACATTAAATAAAAATTTACAAATTTAAAATTTATATTTTTATATATTAATTTTAATTTTTAAAATTAATCCCGGGCCAAATTTCGGGCCCGGGTATTATATAACTAACGCAAGACTCATCAACCTAGGTTACTTTGTTAACTTGTCATGTTAATAAATCTTAAGTTATAAAACTACAAAATCATAATTTGTATAAAATATACATATATATTTACATTTATGAAATTAAATGTAATTTAACATATATATAAATTGTCAATGTAATAATATATATATAAACTGTTAGTGCAATAATATATATAAACTGCTAATACAATAATATATAAATAAATTATTAGAGTAATAATATATATATATATAAACTATTAATACAATAATATATAAATAAACTATTACAGTAATAATATATATATATAAACTGTTAGTGTAAAATTATATATATATAAACTATTAGTACAATTAACTATTAGTACAATAAAATATATATCAACTGCAAATACAATAATATATAAATAAACTGTTAAAGCAATAATATATATACATAAACTGTGTAACACCCCGAGCCCGGGATTTAGGCTTGGGATGAGAAAAATTATCTTAATAATAATTTCAAAAATTTTAAATTCAATTTTTTTTAATTTAATTTTGAGTTATATGAATTTTGAATGCGTTCGAAAAAAATTTCAAAAGTCAGGGGCCAAACTGTAAAAAAAGAGATGGTATATTTGAAAAAAAAAATCGAAAAATATGGGCCAAATCATTAAAAAAAAAAAAGTGGTCATGTCGGATGGTCACGTCAGCAGCGCAACGAATCGTCATGTGCCACATGACAGACACGCCAACTCAGTTCCACATGGAAAGCCACATGGGTGATCCACGTGTCAGGCCGATTGGATAGCTCAGGGCCTCTCCGGCGTGCATGAACGGTCGAGATCGATTTCTCAAATAGGTTTGATCGAACAGTCCATGTGCCTCCAATCAGACGAACCAGATCAATTCCCCCATTAAGTGTGATCGAATGGTCCTCACTGCTCCACGTGTTCCACAGACGGCCCAGATCAAAGCCGAAGAGGTATTTAAACCTCACTACCTGGCTCTCCAAAACCCTAGTCGCGAGACCACTAGAGAAGAAGAAGAAGGGCGGCCGAAAAGCAAACCAGTCACCGAAGGAGAGGCAGTAAGCCACCATCACTATTGCACCGGAGACCCAAACCGACGCGGGTAAGTGAAATTTTTTCTCGTTCATTCCGTGTTTCTATTCTAAACTACTCCAAACCCTTATCGATGCTAAAAAACAAAAGGAGAAGCCAGAAACGGAGGGAGGAGCTCGGCTGAGCCGCCGCACCTGAAATCGAAAAATCCCTCTAGTGAGCCCGAATTCTTTCTCGTTCCTTTCTGTTTCTCAACCATAGGTAATCTAACATAATTTTGATGTAGGAAAACTAAAGGAGGACTGCAACCGCAAGGAAGGAGCGACGGAATTGTCGCACCAAAAACCCCAAACTTCTGGTAAGTCTTGGTTTTCCTCCTTTTTTCCACCAACAAAAACCACTTAACCCTATATCGGCATATTTTCATCCAAAACTGACCAAAATCGGTCTAACCGAGAGGGAAAGCTGTCGTAGGTGGCAGAACCAGTGATGGAGCACAGTAACGGCACCATGCCAGAATCCTAAATCAGCCCCCAAGAGAAGTTTGACCCTTTTTAGTTATTTTTCGCTTATTTCTATGATATTTAATGTATTTTTTTAGTTTTCGTATAAAAACTTAAGAAATCCGGGAACTAAGAACTGCCGGGAAGCATAGTGAAAAAGACAGTATTCCGAACACTGACCCGAAGTAAGAATCTCTCATATTTTCTTTTATTACGGTTAAATTATAGTCTAATAAGTAATAAACGAAAAATTATAAATGTTGGAGACCCCTTGATTAATTAAATATAGGTCACTGATAGAGCTACTAACTGATCAGTGTATAATTGTTCCTTACTTATCTGTGTCATTTATTTATTTTTATATTGTTTTACTTGCCTACTGTTACTTCGTATACTTTAATTTATTGATTGTAATTGTTTTTCTTGTTTATTTAGTTTATTTAATTTATTGAATGTCTTAATTACGTTTTCTTGAATTATTGAGTATCAATTTATATTTTCTATTAAAGGATTGTCATATTATTCTGTAATTTTGAAATGTGAGTATTGCATGTATTTGGTGGCTAAATGGTAATGAGGACTAGTATGTGTACGCAACGTGCTAAAAATTAAAAGAGCTTACGAGATATCAAGGGAAAGAGTGTACAGACCTGGTACATAGGGCAGACCCTGTTATATACGTTACTTTCAGTTGAACGGGGCTGAGAAATCTCATACCAGAAGGGGTTGAAAACTTTTTGATTACGCTCATAACCAGATGGGGTATTGAAGCAGTGGTGTGTTTGGCGTCCATTACCGGACGGGGTATGGGGACGGCTGGTTGATTAATAGAATGGATACTTGATCCACGTGTAGTGGGAACCCTTATAAACCCCTAGCTGCACCAGTAAGTAAATAAAAAGGTAAAAATTTACTATTGTTGGTCTTTTAGAATGTATGATGTGAATAACTATTCTGGTTCCTTCCTTCATAATTGGTATCTGAGTGGAGAATAAATATTTATAGGTCAAATTAATTTACTTAAGAGAGAAAAATAAGCTCCATTGGTTATTTTACGATTTTTAAAAATTTTTGATTTTTCTGTATCGGTGGTAAAGTGTTGATATTCTTACTGGGGTAGTGTAGCTCCCCCTTCTTATTATTAACAATTTCATATCAGAACAATCAAGATCCGAATCCTGACTAGCAAAAAAATTAATAAAAAAGTTGCCTCTTGTTTTTCCAAATACGCAACAGAGGTTGATCATATAGGTTTTTTGTTTATACTTTTATTTTTTTTATGTATTTCAATGGATATTCTTGTAAGCCTATTGGTCATTTCAATTAAATTGTACAAGGAATGTAACCCTAAATTCTAAATTATTTCTACAAAATTTATAAATTTTAATATTATTATTTAAGTACTTGTGGGTCTTTACAAACTGATAGTGTAAAATTATATTTATATATATATATATATTTATATAGACTCTTAGTATAATTCTAATATATGTGAATTCAACCTTACTTTGATACCAAATGTAAGAAAACTTTTATGTTGAAGTCATCTTTTTATTGAATTCAATACATCTCAAGAAAAGAAAGACAATAAAAAGTTAGAGTTATATATCATTCTGAGATTATGCAGCCATAGCATGATTGAGAGACTCCTTGAAAAAAAACTTAATTCTCTCCGTCAAGGTATTTTTTCCTTTATAACAGTTATCTATTATTTTGGGTGTCATTTAAGTTGTCTTCAACTGTTATAAGTGGATGATAAAATAAAATATTAAATTAGTAAGTCATCTAATTAATTGGTAAAATTAACACGTATATCTAGGATCCTAAAATGGGAAACTCCCTATAGTTACGACAATAACAAGTGGCAGATTACTCTGCTATTTTTTCTGTCTTCAGTTGAGTTGTAAAGCCTATCTAAAAGTCATTTCTAGTTGCTGAATAAATCATCCCCCTGCACCTAAAATTCCAGCAGCAGCTCATACCCATTAAATGTTTTTATTAATATTTTTATTTTTTGGCTGCATTCATTTCTTATCTGCTATATGTTTCCTTGCTGCGGCCGTAAATTTGCAGTAAGTCTGAGTTCAACAAAACTATGCTCTAACAAAAGTGGTATCAGAGCGAAGTTCGATTGTAATTGGGCGTGCATCTCATGGCAACAAACGGCAATGTCTTGAGTATTTCTAAACCAGCAATTCCTATCTTTCATGGTGAAAGCTACGAATTTTGGAGCATCAAAATGAAGACATCATTCAAGTCTCAAGATTTATGGGACTTCGTTGAGAATCGGTATCCTAATCCAGATGAAGAAGATAGATTAAGAGAAAATTAAAAAAAAAAAAGGGATTCTAAATTACTATTTTTCATCCAGCAAGCAGTGCATGAATCTATTTTTTCTAAAATTGTAGGAGCAAATACAACTAAAGAAGCACGGATAAATTTGCAAACAGCATACCAAGGCTCCTTGAGGTAATCATGGTAAAACTTCAATCTCTCTGTCGTGACTTTGAGATGTTGCAAATGAAAACCGGAGAATCGGTACAAGAATTTCTTTTACGAGTTGCAACGATTGTTAATCAAATGAGATCTTACGAGGAAGAGATTTCTGATCAAACCTCTGTTGTAAAAGTGTTAAGGAGTTTAACTCCAAGGTTTGATCACGTTGTAGCAGACATTGAGGAGTCTAAGGACTTGGCTACTCATTCATTTGACGAGCTGATGGGTTCTTTGTAATCCCATTAGGCAAGATTGAATCGGGTGAATGAAAAGACTGAAGAGAAGGCTTTTCAAGTGATGGGGGAGTCTCCCAAACAACAAGATGATTCAAGGCAACAAGTAAAGGACGTGGTAGAGGAGGTTATCAAAGCAGAGGTAATTAAGGTAGAGGCAGAATTGCTGGACAAGATGAACAAAGAGAGATGACTGGAAAACAAAAAAATTACAAAAGTAATATTCAGTGTTATTATTGCAAGCAATACGGGCATATAAAGGCAGACTGCTGGAAAAGGAAAAAGCAAGCAAATTATGTTAAAGATGAAGAGGAGATTAAGCTCTTCATGGCCTATCAAGATGGCACCAAAGCTTCAAGTGGCATATGGTTTCTGGACAGCGGCTGTTCCAACCATATGACTGGGATCAAATCTCTATTCAAGGAGCTGGATGAGTCATGCAAGGTGAAAGTAAGACTTGGTGATGATGAACAAATGCAAGTTGAAGGCAAAGGCACGGTGGCATTAAGCAATGGTCATGGTAACACAAAACTCCTTCACAATGTCTATTTTGTTCCTGCTTTATCATCACAAAATCTATTGAGCATTGGGCAGTTTATGGCTAGTGGATATTCTATCATGTTTGATGATGTGTCTTGTGTGATTAGAAATAAAAAATCTAATTAAATTATTGCTGATGTTCAAATGACACCTAATAAGTTTTTTCCACTTGAGGTTTCTAGTGTTGAAAGCCATGCTCTTGCTGTTAAAGAAAATAGAGAGTCCTTAAATTTGTGTGAATGGTGCATTTATGGGAAACAATGTAAAAAACCATTTCCGATTGGAAAGTCTAGAAGGGCATATGAGTGTCTTGAACTTGTACATGCTGCTTTGTGTGGCCCTATGAAAGCACAATCTTTGGGTGGAAATCGGTATTTTTTGTTGTTTACAGATGATTACAGCCGTATGAGTTAGGTCTACTTCCTCCAATTCAAATCTAAAATGCTTGAGATCTTTAAAAAGTTCAAGGCACCCGTTGAGAAGCAGAGTGGAAGAAGCATAAAGGCATTGCGTACTGATAGAGGAGGGGAGTTTCTATCTAATGAATTCAATCAATTTTGTGAAGAACAAGGCTTGCACAGAGAATTGACCGCACCACATACACTGGAACAAAACGGAGTAGCTGAACGTAAAAATTGAATGGTTGTTGAAATGGCAAAAAGCTTGCTGAAAGCAAAGGGCTGCCTGATCAATTTTGGGCTGAAAGTGTTGTTGTTGCTGTCTATCTATTGAATTTATCTCCTACAAAGGATGTTCTCAACCAAACACCATATGAAGCTTGGAGTGGTAGGGGACCTTGGGTAAGCCATTTAAAAATCTTTGTTTGTATTTCCTATTCCTTGATAGATTCACAGAATCGCAACAAACCTGATGAAAAATCTGTGATATCTTTATTGCTTATTGCTCTTAATCTAAAGCATATAGGCTCTCTAACCCTTTGAGTGGCAAGATAATTATTAGCAGGATTGTTGTATTTGATGAAGATGCAATCTGGAGTTTGGAAAAAAAATCAGATAGCATTCAGTTTGAAGTTCCACTTGAAAATGAAGTTCCACCAACTAATAGACAGTAGCCAACTCCTTTAAATACGTCCAGCTCACCTTCTTCAACTCCATCAAGCTCCACTTCTTCAAGTTCCAGCAATAAAAGTTCATCCGATGATGATACTCCTCCAAGAAAATTCAGGTCATTGGCTGAAATTTATGAGGCTACACAAGCCTTATTTGTAGCTAATCCACTAACATTTGAAGACACAGCTGAGAAGGAAGAACTTGAAGCATTCGCAGGAATGAAACATGGGATTCAGTGGATCTACCGAAAGACAAGAAAGATATTGGAGTGAAATGGGTGTTCAGAACAAAATTTCAAGAAGATGGCAGCATACAAAATCACAAGGCACGACTTGTGGTGATATGCGCAACAGCAAGGTATGGATTATGGTGACATCTTTTCTCTGGTTGCTCGGTTTGAGACGGTGAGAATTCTAATAGCTTTAGCTGCTCAATTAAATTGGCCTATTTATCAATTTGATGTCAAACCAGCATTTTTAAATGGAGAGCTGGATGATGAAGTGTATGTATCTCAACCTGAAAGTTTTATTGTTCGTGGGAAAGAGGAGCAAGTGTACAAGTTGAAGAAGGGCTTAAAGCAGGCTTTTACTAGGAATATTTGAAAGGTAATAATGCAAACTAAACATATTCCTTTTGCATAGAAAATGTTACTCTCTAAAAGGACAAAAATTATAAAGAAAAATAGAAAAAAAATCAAAAATGAATTCATGCGTAAAACGAGTGCTGAGAAGTTGGTCTATTACTTGTAAGTTCCAACCTAATCCGGGGATGTAATTCTATAAATTCTTTGTATCACTAGATCAGTCTCTCTAGAATGCAACATCCTATTGGTTGACCTTACAGGAGTTGGACTTCTAATGCAGAACGAGAATACTTTGGCTATAGAAAATATTTTTGTAATTACTATTAAATCTAACTTATATAGGCTACTTAGTAAATCTTAGAAATATAAATATTTTTGCATTATTACATTTGACTTAAAAGTCTAATATAAGTATATCAAGCAGCATGCGAAAGAAAAATCTTAATCGGGTTAAGGGCAGAGGCGTTGCAAACAAGAGACACCAGAAACTACATCACTAGCGGAAATCTGGTAGAAGAGAACATCAGTCTCATTTGCAATGGCATGAGGCAGTTTGGCCTTTACCGCAGCCAGGTGCACCATGCAGCAGAATACCAGTAATGGGGCCTCACACCCGGCAACTGCGAATGGTGGAGCAGAATTATTTGTAACAGCCCCGGAAAATATTAAAATGAAATGAGTATTTAAATATATCGAATGCGGAAGTGAGATCAAAATTTCAGTTAACATCCCTTACACGAAAAACCAAAAACGTACTTAAAATATAAAAGGTTAAACTAACTAAGAAAGAAAACTCGAAAATAAACTATGCGTATGACTACAGAGTCTCTAGGCATCCCCTTCGTCGTCCTCCTGCGGAACGGGCTCGGGAACCATATCTTCCTGATCTGAAATGGTTAATTAAGGAGTGAGCTACACTAGCCCAGTAAGAACATCACGATATCTCACCGTCACGGAGATAAAGGTGGGTAGAAAAACATAAAAAAACCAATGGAGCATAATTTACAACAAACTCGTTTATTAACATGAAAACCTTTACCATCCACTTACCTTGGTGGAATTTATGAAAACAATATGAGAAAAACAATAACATTATCATAATCATTGAATAATCTAAGCTGTAAAACATAACACTTATCACGCCTCTTGTAATTCAATCATTGTACAACATATCTTTTTTTTCTCATTTACCAGCCTACTAGTATCCGTGGGGGTCCATAGGGGTTCCGCTACCCGTTAACCTTTAACATTCATAATCAGTTTCCAGGGCCGTCCCCATACCCCGTCCGGTATGGGCGCCAAAACCATGAACCTCAATACCCCGTCCGGTATGAGGGTGAAACGGGCCGTCCCCATACCCCGTCCGGTATGGGCGCCAAAACCATAAACCTCAATACCCCGTCCGGTATGAGGGTGAAACGGGCCGTCCCCATATCCCGTCCGATATGGGCGCCAAACCATAAGATCTCCATACCCCGTCCGGCATGTGAGACCACAATCCCGGTAGGGTTCCCTACGGACCTGGTCCGTCCACCATCTCCCAGGATATCTAGTCAGGCTGACTCCCATAATAAAATTATCAGTCTACACAATCTTTCATTTTCCTTTTCCTCAGTCAGCATCATCAATTCACATTTAAACAAGCAAATCGTAATTCATACCAAACAGACAACATACAGTATCAGTTTTTCAGTCATTCAACCCATAATTAATAAAAACGTAGTACATGCACACAAATCTGTAAAATGAACACATCAAACCTCATTTTGCATTTAAAGCTGTAAACAGGCCAAATAACAGTAAATCATCAATCACACTAGACTCGGGCTCCATTAGCCACCTTAAGCAATTTCACACATTCGTTAATTCAAGAAATACCGTTTTATCATTTTGAACTTTAATACCGTGATAGGAAATAGGGTGAGGGGTCCTTACTTGTTTTCGGGATCCGAATACGATTCACAGTGCGCCTGCAGGCCGTCCTTAATTTTCCCTGAATTTTTCCCGGGGAACTAAAACACACTAACAGTACCTGCACGTGTTCCA